TCTTAAATGGATTAAACTTGTTGCTCTTTAGTATTTTCTGAGATACGGATTTTTAGATGGGTATGGTTTGCGTCATAGATTTAGAGTTTGGTTATTTATGGTCATTATTCCCACTTTTTGCAGGAGGATTTAAAGTGCCGGCGAGATTTTCGGAGAGAGGTGGTCTTCACTATAGATCCTTTGACTGCGCGTGATCTTGATGATGCTCTTCACATTAGGGCTATTGAAGACTGTGATGGAGCAGGAAGGCCGGGTTGGGAGGTTTGTTTAGATTGATATTACCAAAGCTACTATAAGTCATTTTCAGACTTCCTATGTATGGTATTGTAGGTTGGAGTTCATATTGCTGATGTTAGTCATTTCGTAAAACCAGGCACGGAAGTAGATATGTGGGCGTCTCGAAGAGCTACCTCGGTGTATCTCGTCGACAGAGTTAGTTCGTTTAATTACTACTTTTCAGTCACACGGTTTCACATTCTTGTTAGGTGTGCTTCACTGATTTTCTAAGTGCTGAAGCTTTAAGACTGATACTGCAGAATGATTTGAAAGCCTGTATTATTGAAGTTGGAATTTTAGAGTTTAATTTACCATTTATTTCTTTAGCTTTCTATTTGTTTCACCAAGATTTTCGCTTTTCATATTAGCTTATGAAGCTATTTAAAGAAGTCTTAAAACTTATTTCTTGATTGCTTGTCGTTTTTAGCGTAAGTCACTTATTATTCTTTAGGAATTATGAGATTGTTTTTTATATATATTTTTTAATTTTTTTATAATTTTCGGTATAGGACTTCGCAATATTAGAGACTCTGTTAGAGAACAAGTTGTTTTTAGGTGATTCCCATGCTCCCGAGAGCTTTGTGTGAAGACCTCTGCTCTTTACTACCAGGCGTCGAACGTTTAACAGTATCAGTTGTCTGGAATATGGACGATGAAGGAAATATTTATGACGAGTGGTTTGGGAAGTCTGTAATTCGATCTTGCTGCAAACTTGCATATGAACACGTCCAGGTTAGGATTGCTTTTTTCTGAAATATTTGCATTTTCATCATGAGCGCATTTTATTGTAGGACATGTTGGACCACTCTGATGAGGTCCTCAAAGAAGAATCATATCCTAAAGTAATTTCCGGTATAGGACTTCGCAGTGTTAGAGACTCTATAATACGACTAAATAAGGTTTTAATTTTCCTTTTTTTTATTTTCTTCTCAGTTATTGTTGAGAAGTTTTTCAAATTGTAGTTCATTTACTTTTTTGTATTGCGGACAGTATTTTTTGTAGTTTATTTCTTTTACTGGCGTTTCAAAGTGCAGCCTACATAGTTTTTAGCTCTTGCAACATAAATTAATTTAATATTTTTCGGCTACATGTTGGAAAGAAACACATTTCAAAAGTTAGCAAAGAAGGCACATTAAAAAAACCTGTTGTGATTATTTCCGGAATTCCTTTAGCTAGCGATTTTTCTTGGTAATCGCCGTTCTAAGCAAGGTTCTTTACGTATCGAGCAGCCGAAACTGTGCTTTGACTTGACAGACAAGGGTACTCCTCGCGGCGTGTCTATTTATGAAGTAATCTTTCACAGCTATCTCTCTCTGAGTTTCGTAAACACATATTTTCTTGTTCACGTTGTACTGGTATGACGTTCTTGGTGAAACTGTAGTCAATTTTTTTAGAAGTTATCCGAGAAGGACTCATTTTAACTATTTATTCATTTGTTCACCTTCTTATCCTTTTCAGCGAAAACAAGCTCACTCTCTAGTTGAAGAATTTATGCTATTAGCAAATGCGGCAGTTGCTCGCAAAATTGAAGGGTATTTTCCCGATAGAGCTCTTTTAAGGCGACATCCCCCACCTAGAGCTTATGTTTGTTTTCCTTTTTAGCTTCAATCAATAATTTCATTGTTATTGGTATTCTTCTAAACCTTTTTGTTTCGGCAAGAGCATTGTGCTTTTAAACAAGTTATGATTCAAATTTTTTTGAGGTGTTTCGAAATGTTTTGGAAAAGTGCAAATTAATGGGATTTAATGTGGACGGCTCTTCTAGTAGTTCATTAGCATCCAGCTTAAGAGAATATTCTACCCGAGACAAGTATAACGTATCTGCAGCACAGGTGTTTATTCTACTGACGGAAATTTTTTGCTTTTATTTCAAATTTTCTTTATGAAAGTTGGAATGGTTTTTAACACTGTAAGTTCATAGTGCTGCTATAATGATATTCAAGTACAGCATCAAATGATTCAGGTACTATCAAATTTGCTTCTTAAATCTATGAGACTCGCTGAATACTTCTGTACAGGTACAGTGATGGATAAGAGTAAATACGCCCATTATGCTCTTGCTGCCCCGTACTACACTCATTTTACCTCTCCTATTAGACGGTACCCAGATATTATGGTCAGTAATGATATTTTCAACTGCTTCTCGTACGCGTCTATTTCTGGAACTGTTTATAGTTTAGGTGCACCGTTTTCTTTCTGCCGCTCTCGGTTCTGAACCCGATCCTCCCTGGAACATTAAAGAAATCAGTGATATCGCATCATATTGCAATACTAAGAAGTTAGCTGCAAAGACTGTATCAGAAATTCATGCAGAAATGTATTTCGGCCTTTACGTGAAGGTAAATATTTAACAACTTTGTCTGTTTCAAAGTTACGCATCGTTTCAACTGTGTTTTGTTTACTGGTTTGCTGATTTTTGTTTCCGTTTCCCCACCCGTTCGCGATTATTATTAGGCTTGTGGACCTCTAGTGGAGAAAGCTGTTGTCTTACAAGTCCTCGATGCAGCCTTCGATGTTCTTATTATCAGATATGGTTTATTTAAACGGGTTTATGTCAATGTGAGTGATAAGTACTTTAGGAGGAGCCTTTTAGTTTTTTTATTTTTGTGTATTTTTTCTCTATAATTTTCAAACTCATTGGACCTTTTATTCAGAGGATAGAATTTGCCAAACCGCCAGAATACAGGGAAGATGGACCAGTTCTGACCCTATTTTGGGCTCCTACAGATTCTTGTGGAGTTTTAAAACAAACAATCCGGGCTTGCACTGTTTTAGATGTGAATTTATCTTCGCTACCGGAACCTGTAAAGTTTCAGGTACTTGAGATTATCGTTATTCATTATCCGCAAATGAGCTTATTTGTTGTAGGTAGCCTGCAGTTATGGTATTTTTATTAGTTTTCAAATGCGTTTTTTTGTTTTAGTAACGTGTAGCTCTTCTTAGATATGTTTTGACACAAATTTAACTGTGTTATTTTCATTGCGACGCACTTCGCTTAAAAAACTCTTCATTATTATTTTGATAAATTCTTTTAGATCAGAAGGCTTATTTTAGATGCCTTTTGAGAGGCTAGCAACTAAGCTGTGCTATGATTAAATGAGTATAAGTAAGTAATATAAAAATTATAGATAAGAGGGATGTATATTTTAGATCGTTTCAAATTTATTTTTTATTTATTTTTTTGAGTATTTTGCCCGTGCAAACTGTTTAGGTAAGTGGAGATGTTGTTTGATGTAGAACACTTTTTCGGAATGGTTGGGGAACGATGAGTAGGTGCCGTGATTTATCAGTGTAGTTTTGACTAGTTTCCGTTAGCTGAACCAGTCTACCACCTAATTTATTAAACAAAGGCTACTGGTTGAAATTCAAGCTTTTTATATCCGGAGTACCGTTGTTTTGGTCGAGAATCTTACTTTACCCTGGTTCCGCATTCCTCGAGTGTAACCTAGTTTAATTTAATCTCTTGATTAATTCTCTGTGTGTCTCCTTAGCTTTTAAAGTCTCTTGTCGTTTAAAGTAAGTCAGGTAAGGATTAAGATTTTAAAAAGCTGGAACCACCATTTATATTCACTAGCTTCTACTCTTCTTACAACTGGTAAAGCTTTCTAACACTGATTTTAGGCTTCAATTACAAGACCGGATTTTGTGTCGGATACCACAGTGTTTGACATCTTGTGAGCTGTGGAAGCATTGCGGCGTCATGTGTTCTCGCGTAGATTATTTTTATATTCTTAATATTGGATTCCATTGGTCTTAACGGAACAACGAACTGCCCCTGCCGCTTCTTCGCAGTGCATTTACACTAGCATACTCACTTTAGGTCCTTGAGCTTACATTTATGGAACTCGTTTCCCATGTAATAAATTCGTTTTCTCTTTTTGTTTGTTCATGTATATGTCGTATGCACTTGTACGAATGGCGCACAAAGTTGCTGGTACTGTTAAGCGTATTGAAAAAAGACTGAGGAACAGTTGGATAATTTTACTTTTTAC